ACAAATAATTTGAATGATAAAAATTACGTAAAATATCTCTATAAAGTTTCAAGAGTAATTTCATCATTTTATTTTGATAGTTATTTTTTTAATATTTTATTTTGATGCAACTTGATCACATGTTTATGTCTCAAATTTTAAATAAATTTGATTAATATAATAATTATAAAAATTTAAATACTACTAGACAATTGTAACCGTGTGATAAATTTTAAACGGTGATAAAGTATAAACGAAGCATGGTAAAACTACACCTATAAACGTTTTATAAATGCTTCCCTTATATATATAGATTTTGTTTTCGAGTTGGATCCAGGCCCAAGTTTGGGTCCGAGTCCATTAGGTTCTGATAACTTCATGTCTAATCAGGGCCAAGTCTAGCCGAACACGGAACCGTTGCCACCCCTAGACAGCTTGCCTCTTGGAGGTGGAGGCAAATCGGCCATGTGACTATAGGGCCCTTGAGTTCGTCTCGGACCAATTTTTGAACAAAATTTTCGTAGTTTACTATGAATATATTACCAAGACAAAAGTGCAAAAGCGACTAAATGTGCCATTTTTTAGGCAGACAGCGACCATCGTTCTACAATTCTACATAATGTGAGACGTGAGTGTCCTCGATCCAGTTTGAGAATTGATGGTTTAGTCTTGTTCCCCAAAATATGGGAACCGACTGGTTCTCTGATTGGTTTTTGAAAGTGGCGATACGGGTCAACCAACTTTGTTTTTAAATATTGGTTAATATTAAATAATCTTATTCCTTACCATTAAATTTTGAGAAAGGCTTCACCATGAAAAAATAATACAGGAAAAAGGGAATAAAAGAAGGGGAGGGAGTGCATCATTAATAAAACTAATAATCATGGTGAGAAAAACCAGGAATAGCCATGGCTAAACGCTCGGGAACGAGGTAGAATCCTCCTCCATTCCCCAATTTAATCAAGATTTACATGTGGCTCCCCCCAGCCATAAAAGCACGCATCGTGGTTCAGCAGGCTGCAGAGCATCACTACCGTTAAAAAAAAAAAGAAACAAAAAAAAAAATCACAAAAGAAAATTTTACACAGCGCTTGGGTAATGATCGGGAACACGAACCCTAAGGATCCACAAACTCTACAAGTAGACTGCAACCTCTCCCGATCCTTCTTCACATGCTGAAATGAGCTTCAATGCCATGGAAACCACCATGTTTTCTTCATTCAGATGATTCAAATCAGAAGATGCAATCTTGTTGAGGGGTTTCTTTTCCTACATTATCATGGGTAGATGATCATCATCATCCAGGGCTGGAGGAGACATGGGTGGCATTGCCGCAATGGAAGTAACGTTGGGGAGCTTGAATAAAAGCTTTCGTGATGCTGCTGCCTTTGATTCCTGGTTGTGAAGTTCGGAAATTAGGGTTCCAGATGCAGTGCTTTTAGGAGTCTCGGAAGAGCCACTGCTCCTTGGGTGCCCAATTGAAGATAGAAACTGTCCCTTGGAATATGAATGAGAAGATGCAATGGCATTGGTGAAAACACCGGAGTCCCCCAAGCCTTGGACGATAACCTATAAAGAAGCGGTAATAATTGGTTGTATAGCAAAATGCATTTTACAAACCCTGCAAACTGTTCTGCAGCAAAAAAAGAAAGGTTGGACTCACCATTGGAGCATATACACGTGTCAAAATGCCTTTCCTGAGGAGCTTCATGTTTAATGTTTTGTCTGTCCATACAATATGTTCCCGATACCTACAGATGATGAAAATGGGCAACTGGATGAAAAGTTTCATGGAAGTGAAATAATACTTCACGGGGCTGAATGGAGTACTGAATGCTGTGTTGACATAAGTTACAGTGCATTTCTCTTTTGTTGGAATAAACTCAAATGGTTCCATTTTTACTAAACAATGTAGCAGGACTTTGGAAAAGAACAATTCAGAACAGATGATAGCATCCATAGCGGAGAGTATTACCAGCGAAGCATTTCCTCTTCAGTTGCAGTAGAAGCAATTATAAAAGCCTGCTCAAACCACAGGAAAAGTAACCACTTAATTGGAAAATATTTTTTGGAAAAAACTACCTGCCATTTGCAATGATTGCTTCCATTAAGCACATCTATGTAATCATAAATGAGAAGCAATTGCATGAGAATCTTAAATGTTAAGTTTGCCCTAAAAGAGATGCACCAAGAGAAGTATTGAAGCAAAAAGAGCAACCATACATTCCGTGTAGCATATTATCAAAAACGATAAATTCCGCATAGCATGGGAAGGGGAAAGATAACACCAACCAACCTCAACATGTTACAATGACTTCATCCAATGAAATAAATGTAGTAGTAATCTGAAATCACTCAGTGCTCAATGTTCATATGAAGTAGCAATCCCAAGTCCATGGAAATGATTCAT